GTTCTATCCTTAGAGGCTAAGGTGAACAAGTTTTCTCCCTCCTCCTTATGACACCAATTGTCAAGTGAGCTTTGTAAAAAGAAATCTCAGTGTCAGATGTGGATGATTTGATATGAATCAAAATTCATCTGGGGGGGGGGGCAGTTCTAATCCCCTGTGAATACAAATCACAGAGTCCCATAGGGACCTAAAAATAATATTTGATTGCTACCGACCTGGGCAGGAATTCAGCTGCTGACCCACAGGTGAAATGCTTTTCAGAGCAGCTCACTACTACACTACGGAAGGCTTTTGGATATTCTATGGAGGACCCCACTCCAGATTCCTCATTGGGACTTTGCAGAAGGAATCCTGCCCTGATGGAGGATCCACTTTAAGTTTTAAATTGAGCCGGGTGCCTGCTGGGAACAGGACTTTGGGAGACTAGTTGGTGCTGGGAGGATGCCCATGTAGTGCAGAGGTGGGCAAGGTACTGGTGTGAATCTGGAGTCACCAGAACCTAAATCTGACTCACGAGCACTACAGCTCATAGCGTGTGTATTTCACTATCCTGTCCTTGGGCCAGGATTTAAGGCACCCACAGTAACAAGGTTGCAGAATGGGACTCAACAGGGACTGCAAGATGGTTCCTTGGTCCCTTTTCATGGAGGGGACCTATGGCCATGGGATTGACAAGCCCCAAAAGCAGGCCTTCAGCAGCTGTAGGATGATTGAAAATTACGCACGGTCCTCAGGAACAGCAGTGTAATATTCACCCTTATTATTGTCACTTATCGATATTGTGAGAGCATGTAGAAGTACCATTCAGAGCCCTGTTTTATCCAGGTGCTGTGAACCTCATCACAAAAAGACAGTCCCAGCCCCAAACAGCTTACAGGCCAGTGTTCATCTGCCATTCTGAAGGGGAGATTTGCAGGGCAAAGGGCAGAGATGAGGCATTTGAAGTACAGCTGGTCAGAAAATGAGCTTTTTTGTGTGGAAAATTTCATTTATTTGAGCTAAAAATATATATACTGCAAATTTGCAACTGAAATCTGAAACATTTCCATTTGGAAGTGCTCCTGCAGTGCCTCATGGGAGCTGTAGTTTGGATGCCTCAGGTCCCCATTCTTCAGAGGTCGGGCAACCCAGTCAGTCTACATCTCCCATGATGTACAACACTCATTCCTCTTGAAGAGAGGAAGTGATGCATCATGGGAGTGCCTGGTGCATCATGGGAATGTAGGGTGGCAGCCCTCATGTAAAGGGTTGGGAAAACAGGGGGAGGGGTGAGACTCTACAGCGACAGACTCTGCTGGCCACAAACACAGGCCCCATGAAACCCCCTCACCTCCCGCCTCACCTTCTGCTTGGGATCATGATTGTCTCCTTCACCTGTTTTCCCACATAGACGTTTTTGTCAAACCAGCTCATTGAGCCCGACGTGTACTGGCTGGGCCTCAGCGACTCAGCGAAGGAAGGGGAGTGGCGCTGGGTGGACGGCAGCCTCCTGTCTCTCAGGCAAGTTCCTCTTTGTTTGGCCTCTTTGGAGAAAGAACTGTCCCTTACAATCAGCTGTTTCGCTTTATCTCCTGTCCTGCTAAAGAGCCAGACGGAGCATTGATACCAAAGCAATTGACACTAGAGGGGTCTCTGGTCCCCTTTAGTAGCTAAAGCATGTAAAGAAGGTTATGAGTCTGCTACTGCCTCCATGCCAATGTCATCCAGGGTCAGCACAGAGCCGGGGCAGGACCTGGGATGTTCCTGGGGAGCAGAAACCTGCTTGACCATGGGGCATTCTGAATGTCCTGCTAAGGAACGGTGCTGGGGAGAACAGCAACATGGCCCAGGGGACAGGGCCATGGACAAGGAGGCAGCACTCCTGGGTTCTCATTCCAGCCCCATTAGTGTTCTGTGCTGGCCGACTGTGAGGCACGTCTCTTCCTGCTCTATGCCTCAGTTTCCTCACCTGTAAAATGCACTGGAAACTGATGTCGTCCAAGCTGAGAACAGCTCTGGCTTGAGCAGTGGCTGGGCCAGCTTCCCCCTATTCAGTGGCTAGCCCCAACCTGCCATGGCCCTGCCCACCTTGACTCTCTCTGCTAAAACTATCAGACCAGTCAGGGCCCGTTGGCGGCGGTGACATGGACACCTGTCCCCTAGGAGCTGGCTCATTTCACACCACCTGCATGGAGGAGGTTTTCAAAGGAGAGACACTGTACGCATGTGGACTCTGTTCTGTTGCTAAGACCCACAGTCACACTGGGGATGGGATGGGAGACGATTGCCAGCAGGGGCAGCCTGTGGAAGCCAGGAGCAAGTGGAGCATTTGCAGGGGTGCTGGGATACACAGCATCCACCAGTGGGAGTTGCT